AAGTCCAGCAGCAAGCCACCAGACTGGCTGAGGGCTGGAGCACAGGCATATGAGGAGAGACTTAGAGATATGAGTCCATTTTGTCTGGAGAAGAGGAGGCTTAGAGGAGACCTGACTGCTGAAACTACCTGACCTCAGGGTACAGAGAAGACAGAGCCAGATTCTTCTTGCAGGTGCCCAAGGATAGGTAATTGACACAAGTTGGAGCTTAGGAAATTCTAATTAAATATAAGAAAAATATTTTACCATAAAGGTAATCAAATACTGGAATAGGGGATGTGGGCTTTCCATCTTCAGAGGTGTCAAGGGCTTGATGGGACACGGCCCTGAGCTACCTGATTTTAGTTAGACCTCCTCTTGGAGCCGGGGGTTGGACTAGCTGACTTCCAGAGGACCCCCAGTGAATCTAAATTCTTCTGTGATTCTGTGAAACTCAGATTTCTAGGTTCAAAGAGCTGGTGGTTTTAGATGTTCTTCACCTGAAAAGACAAGGTGCAAGAAAGACTGCTGTGCTGACCAGCTGTACCCAGCGTATCTCAGAGAGGCTTCCAGGTTGCATTCTCATTGAGAGCGCTTATCCAAGACTACAGTGCCTCCTGCACAGGTGCAGTCTTCACGGCTCTCCCTGTTGCATGGGAGGCTTTGCTGTGTATACCAGGGACAGCCCTATCATACTAGAAACACTTCTTTCCTGCATATCAAAGCTGACAAAACATGAGAGGACATGCGAGTCACACAACTTGCCATGCCTTCCCTTACTGCTAGCTTTTGTGTCTACAAGTAAGAGATTGAGAAGAGATGAAGTAGGGAGTCTGAAGTTCTCCTTTTAGGTTTCTCACAGACTCACTTTCTAATCCTCAGTAGGCTACTTCATATCCGCATCTCAGCTTCACCATGTACAAGAGGGGTATTATAGCAACATCACAGCAGAAGCCATGGGACTTCACATCTACAGAGCTCTTTGCAAATATAAACTGCACAAAAATATAAATTCTTTTATGTAACCCCTTCGAAATAAAATATGCAGAAACTGGTAATCCCTCACAGTTTCTCAGCTGGCATGGAGTAAGGAATGGCCTCAGTGGCAGAACGTTGAGTCTTTGCACACAATCTATGATCTCAGACAAGCAAGATTCACCAGTTTAATGAGATAATGCAAGTTAGTCAACCATTTCATTGCTTTGGACCCTCAGAAATGTGCCAGGCATTGATTACAATCACATAGTGTAAGTTATTCTGGTTTGTTCGGTACCTCAAGTAAGCAGCAGTAACTCCTCATGTGTTTGAACTCTGATGCTGGCATTCCCACGCCATACTGTGTTAGACATTCAGACAACTCTGCTGATCACATATTTCCTCTTACTTTAATAGGCCTTTCAGGAATGAACAAGCATTCCCTTGTATACTATTATGGTTCCCATCACTTGATGGTCACACTTAATTAACCACTAGTTTAGTAGAGAGCTGGTTACACTTCATTTCATTAAGTGATTTCATGATCACCAGAGGTACACTGACAGCTCTGTTAGCTGAAGCTATGTGAAAAGGGGCAGCAGAGACAACAGTAACATTTTGCAGCACTTGTTCATCAGTGAATTTCCAGGCACTACTCTTGCAGAGTACAGCTAGTTACATTTCCATTCCCATTTAGCTTTTTGGCTCAAGACTATCTCAGCCTTGAGGTAAGATAGACCATATCCTATTACTAGTACCTTTAGCAGTGTTGGTCCCTGCATCCTTGAAGTCATAATTTTTATATAGAGTTGATATTGTAAATTTCATCATCTGTCTTCCCTCTTTTAGGATTTTCTCTTCATGGTCAGCAAATAAATGCAATTGAAGGACAACATCCCATTAAAAAATGTAAGCAAGAATCAACTGAAATACAAGGAAATGTTGAAGGGTTCGTGATAAACCAGGTAGTTTGAAAACACTAGGCAATTAACTCTAAACTATGTAAGTATCACATGACAGGAAAAACACCACCAATGTTACATACATTAGCATAAGCATATAGACATTACAGGATACCTGTAAAACCATACATTAAAGCTGCATACCACAAAAACCTTCTCACAATAGTTTATGCTCATTCATAAGGATATGTAATGCAGGTGGTTTAATGTTTCTAATGCAAAAGTGTTTTTTCTAATTGAATGGGGGGAGTTTTGCATGGATGTACTTCAAACTTAGATCTAAAATTCAGTCTCCCTGTGTTTTAAGCCATATTTCAGTTTAAGAGAGAAAGAAGTGTTAGGAAAACACCATCATAAAAGGAGGGTGAGATGAAAGAGGTAGAGATGGATAGCACAAACCAAAAATAATGCCAGTGACTTGAATTTTGTTGTGAAGCCCTTTATCTCTGTCAGAGAACTGTGTTCAGAAATTGTGAAAATTCAGAAACAAACTGTCTTTCATATAAAAATTGCATCTTTGCTCTAAATATCTAGTCTTTAGTTCAAATCATACGAAGAAATAGCAGAACATTTACCATTCACTATAAGCAGACAAGAAGAAAAGCAAAGGTATCTTGTGCCAAAGAGTCAAATGATATGACTACTTGCTACTGTCATTCCTTAGAGACCTGTTCTATATAACGATCATGAAACTTACATGTTAATGAAAAGCTTCCTACAAATTCATTTTCACTTTCCTGTATCTATCATGCTATTATCGTTTGTGATGAGACAGCTTTGTCACTAGAGTCCAGAATATAAAGGAGCCACTTGTTTCAGGAATTCTGGTTTGTGTGTCTTCACAAACACACATATATTACAAAAAAACAACAACAACAACAAAAAAAAACCCTCCTCTAGGAATGGAACTAGGTAATAATGTATGGAAAAATGTAGCATGCTATCTCCCACCCAGCTCACAATACAGTTACAAGAAGTTTCGTGTAAATTGTGAGAACTTTTTCTCAGAAATTACACTTGTTACTGGCAGGGGGAAAATAAACAATCGCACACTGCTTTTTTTTCAACTGGCCTGCACAAAAAATTATTGTAAATAGTTTATATTCCTATAATATCTTTCCCACATGTACTCTTCACAGTAACTATGGTGGATCCATATCACTGTTCCAACTTTAAAGGCAGAGTAAATGATATGCCAAGCATTTAAGTGACCTGTTCAAAGTTGTGTAACAAGCTACAGATATCCTGGCTGTCTCCAGACCTCATGCTCTGCAAACTACACCCCAACTGCAGTTTGTACTGAGTCATTTAGCCACAGATACTGTAAGCAAAAAGATATTGCATTACTCAGGTCTTAGAACGGTGATACTTTGTGTACTCAATAAACCAAGGAAAAGGAAATCAGCAATAGGCTTTGAACCAAAAATGCAAATTCATAGCAAGGTTATTCAGATTTGGTTATCAAGAGAAGAGATTCTCTGTGCCTTAAGGGTAAATCACTAGGCATTTCTAGATTAGATCTCTTGTTCTGCTAGAACACAAACCCTAATTCCTTCAAGAAAAACTTTGCGTTTTTCCCATAGGTGAGGCATAGATCAATAGTGACAAATAGTGAAAACTTTCTAGTGTACTAATGAACAAAAGATTACTAACTGTAACAGAATCTAAATAAACATCCACCCCCATGTCTCTTGGATGGATGATTTGCAAAGCATTTCACACCCTGCATACAGCAGATTTTAACTGACCATGAGAAAGAGCCTTTCTCATGTACCTTCATAAGTTTCTGGGCTGCCAGCTATTTGCACTGACTGGACACTTAAGTTTGAAAGTGCTGTATATTCTCTGTGGTGCTACAAAAGCAACATTATTGATAATAAAGACATGATTCAGCAGGGAAAACAGAGAAAAATCCAACAAATCTTTGATTCATAGGAGACTCAAAGCTGCATGGTTCAAATACCAGAAATTCACTTTCAGAAACTTTGGCAAGTTTTTATAACCAGTAAATTATTACTAGTTTTCCTGGCTATTCATTATAACAACATTAATAGTGATAGATTCATTTGTACATGTTTGGTTTTAATATCCAAATCTGTGGGAATCCCTCTGGTATTTAACAGAACAAAATTAAACATCAATTACAAAGGCATAGAAGGAAATCTAGAGGTGTCTTTATCCAAAAAAGTGTTCACATAAATTTATTAACAAACAACACTTACCAAGGTTTCAAACATTGTATGATTTCAAAATCATGAAGAATTATTTAATTTGTACTCAGTTTGTAAATATGCTACTGTATACACAAAAACTACTCCCATAATTTATCATGTTGCTTCCCCATTATTAGAGTTTGCTCCATACCTCACTGCACATGAACTTAACTAAAAATGTTACCATATCAGGTGGAAGAAGAGAGCCTGTCCTAAAAGTTGCAGAAACTGAAAGAAATGTAGGGCACAGAAAAGCATGTCAAGTTTCTCTCACTGAGAAGTGTGATGGGAATTTGGCAGAAATCCCACAGTCTCTTTCTCTTACATACAATTCTCCCTTTCCATTTTTAATACATGTAGGCCAATGAGAAAGGCCAATCCCTTGTTCCTTTCAGTTGCCCATCTCTCCCAAGACAGTATTTGCTCTCAGTTAAACATACATATTTCAACATAAAAATGCTGATATGGAAACATTCTCCTTTTTAACAGGCAGATACTCAGAGGTTGAAGATTTAGTCCTCACTGAAGGACTTTGCCAACGTAACTGCTGCTAATGGTTATGACATTTTTCCACTGGGACACATAGACAGAGTGTGACAAGAGCATTCTTAACATCCATCCTTCACATCTGATTTTATGTACATCTTCCATAAACACATGAATTCTTATTTTGTCTCACAACCATTAAAATTAATGAATTTTGCAATCAGCAGACAGTTGAAGAGACATGGCTCTGGGCTACAGTCCCGCATGTCTAGATACAACAGCTTTTAAACATCTCTTCTCCAGAAGAGATCAAGTGGAAAAACTGATTATTTTTCCTGAAGAAGAACATGGACTCAAAAAGAAGTTAAAAAGCCTAAGAACGCATCTATGGCCTGGAATCCAGGGGCTGCTCACCCACATCAGGGCTCTGTGGTGCCAGCTGGGGCCTGAGTCTCTCCTCCAGTGGGAAGGGCATCAGGTCCTTCCTGGTGATCACCCCAACCACTTGGTTATGCAAGTCAACAACAGTGAGGTGGTGCAGCCCCAGGGTGCAAAAGATGATGTAGGCGCGTTGCAGTGAGAAATGAGCTTGGACTGACATTGCAGATTTGTTTATGTATGGCTCCTGTAAGTCGAACAGAGAAGACATAGGGAGAACACAAAAGCATGAGTGCACCCCTGCCACAGGGTGGGAAGGAGAGGCATAGGAAGGAGGCCAGGGAGAGAGAGGTAGCAGGCTTGAGGGACAGGAGCCAATAAGAACATTAGTTCTTCTCTCGGTGTTCCCCATCCCCAATTACACCTATAACATCAGGAAATAACACTTTATTTTTTGGTAAACCATCAGGTTCACTCTAAATAAACTATTATGACTGGAATGTACCCAAATTTCACAGGCTAGAAAAGCAAAGTTAAGCTCCATTGATATGGTCTGAGTTTTCACTTGGAAGTAGTCATTGACCCCAATATTTATTAAGCCTTAAGATTTTTTTATAGACGCTATCTCATTACACAATCATTTATAACATCCTGTAATATTTTGCAATAAATGCTTATAAAAGTCAATTCACATAGAAACATAGACTGCAAAGAAGAGGACAAAGAAAACGATCCTATGGCTCTGAGAAGAGGGCCTGCAAGCACTAAACTCTGGTCACTGAATGTAGCCACTATGAGGGCTATAACTGTTTCTCGGTAGGAACCAAGATAAAGACCATTTTACTGTTAACCAAACTGGCCTTTATAGCTTATATAGGTGTTCACTCAGTTTTTATTTTTCACATAATTCTACAGTATCCTTCTTATGACTTGGCCAGTTTTTTCAGAGGGTGTAATAGTGTAACCCAAGTGTATCCTTCCCCAGACAGAGGAAAAATGAAACAAAGACATGGTAAAATAATACAAATAAATGCACAGTCTGGAGACACATCTCTCTCTTTCATTTACAGGACTGATGAGACATTCAAAGATATAAGGAGGAAATAAATTAAAGGTAAAAAGTTTTCTCTTTCTATACCACATATAATTTTGCTGTAGAACTCACCACCACAAAAAGTCACTGTGCTCCAGAACGTCACGTTTATTTCTGTGGATATCAGAAACAGATATGAGCGATAATAACAAGTTCTTGGAAGAGATACTGAACTTTGTGCTTCAGGGATCACATCAGGTACTAAAAAGTTAGGTGTCAATGCGAAACCTAATTGAGTGTAATAGGTTTCCTGTCACAAAAAAGTTGTGTGGCCCAATGGTATAAGCACTGGACTGCGTCTCAGCTGAGCTGGCTTCTACTCCCATGATGACCTCCTCTTGAACTTTGAAAAGTTGTGTGTCCAATCTCCACCTCAGTTTCCCCATCTATTAAAAGGAAACTCTTAAACCTAACTAGATAATGGATACTATGAGCATTGTGGGTTTAATATTTTTTTTTTCCTTCTAGCTATTCTGAAAGCAAGGAATTCAGACTAGATGGATCTCAAACTCAGTCTCACCTTCTTTACACATGAGTAAACAGGAGCGGTTTTTATATCTTTTTAAATAAAATCCATCTGAATTAGGCTTGCTGGCCTGGATTTTCCAGTGTCCCCCCATCTCAGTTTCAGTGATGTAGACTGGAAATTCACCAAGGCAGAAACTACATTTATTTTGTTTATAACATATTTATTTTAGGCCTTATTCAGTATACCAAACACATTATTGCTTTTGGACCCAGTATTTTAGTACAGTATTTAGGAAATAAATGTGGCAATGTCATAGCAGGGATTTAAAAAAAAAAAAAAAAAAAAAGGGGGGGTTTAAGAAATACAGCTTTATTTATAAATTGATGTATAGGCACTGTACCGTAATGGAGCCTAAAATCTCAAAAGCGCTGCTTTATATTTGCTTTATAGGACTGTAAGAGCCAAATAATGACATTTAAATGATCTATTCCATTAACATTGTATCATTTTGTCAATCTGGAATGTATTTTAATCAAAAGCCCCCTTGAAATGGTCTCCTTTGTTGTATTTTCTTTTTGGCTCATTTTATCAACATCTGTTATGTTTATACAATATGAATTAAAACTTCGGAATGCTGTTTGTACTCAGCTACTTTTGTTGAGAATGTAACGTCCCAGGATTGGCAGTGTTTATGTAAATCAGTGCGGCTGACACAGCCATCATAAACAAATGAGAAAATATAACAAACACATTGTTCATGGAGGAAATGTTTGTTTTTAGAGTTGGCTTCAGTCTTACCAGATTGATGAAGAGTTGCTGATACCGGGGATCTGTAGCATAGCGATTCAGCAGCATGGGTAGGCGCGACAGATTGGGCAGCTTCTCCACCGTTATCTGGAATAGGCAAGAATCCACTGCTCTTCCCTTTTGCACTGCACATTGGAACCCAAGGTTCGAAGCTTTCCAGTTTGACTCTTAAGAAAGCGTTTTCTAGCAGAGCTACACTGGCAGAGCTTGTCCAAACTTTATAAATTCTTTTGCCAATAAGGCTTAAATTAGCAATTTAAACCAAAACACTCTTTACTTCCAAAGATTTTTTTTTTCCCCTTAGTGTAACTGTATCTCTATTAAGACAATGTAAGTTACATTGCCTTAGGGGTGAGGTTTTTTCACACTGTGAAAATTCACACACTAAGTGGTAATTACATGATAGTATAGTGCAAAAAAATGCAACAAAACTGGTATCAGATATCGGCTGAGCTTCGGCTCTCTTCCACAGGAACACCTATTTGCATCCTGGCACCTTATCCTGTACATAATTGCCCTACTCCTTGTCCACATTGTTTTGCCAGCCAGATTCCCATGTGCAGCCCAAGTTTCAGTAATATATGATAACTTTCCAGTTGTGCCTGTATAAATTACTCAAAACTACATTACCAGTCTTGCCTTGGTAGCACACAATTTTCTTCTACCGCACTTAATGTTTACTATTCCTAAAAATCCTTTAGTCATCTATCAAAGGGAAGAATGCTACATGCTTTTCAAGTTTAAAAGCTTTTACAAACACTCATCATTCAGAGAGGTGCTATCCCATACAGAATTAAATATTATAATTCTGCTATCCATAGAGAAGTTGAGAGAGAGAAGATTGGAACAGCCTATCAGAGCAAGGAAATTCTTTGCCAGCAGTCTTGCACAACTTCCAGACTCCTGAGTGCCATTATAGTTTATGACAGCTGCCACTGGAAGGTCTCTGCTCATCCTTTAATTTAAATTGTACATGACCAATTCTTTATCTCAACCACATATATTACATCATTTCTTCATTCATGGAGAGCTTGTCCTAAATCACCCCATATACATGCTGATTAAACAAGGCAAGAACTCAAAGAAAAGAGATTACTTTCTCATAGGAGAGAGGATGAGAGGAGAAGAAAGACTCATCATTTGTCTCTGGTTCAAAGATGTGCTCATTTTCCAGCAGCATGCACAGCTCTAACCTAATGTTAGAGAAGACAAGTACATTCATTATAAGAGGCTAATTAAAAAAAAAACAAGCACACAGTGCTTTAGCATCAGATATGTGATTGTAGCTCAAGTACTCTGCAGTTTTGGGACCCTCAATACAAGAAGGACATCAAACTGTGTCCAGAGGAGGGTGACCTAGATGGTGAAAGTGGTGAAAGGTCTCCAGGGTAAGACATGAGGAACAGCTGAGGTCACTTAGTTTGTTCAGCTTGGAGAAGGCTGAGAGGTGACCTCATCACAGTCTACAACTTCTCGAAGGAGAGCAGCAGAGTGGGAGATGCTGATCTCTGCTCTGGTGATCAGCAACAGCAATGAAGCTGCATCAGGGGAATTTCAGGTTGGACATTAGGACATTCTTCACTGTTGATCACTGGGACTGGCTCCTCAGGGATGTGGTCATGGCACCAAGCCTGTTATTGTTTAAGGACTATCTGGACAGTGCTCTTAGTATATGGTTCAGTTTTAGGTAGTCCTGTGAGGAACAGGGAGCTGGACTCAGTGATCCTTATGGGTCCCTTCCAACTTGAAATATTCTATGATTCTAGAGTATAGTGGACTGACCACATATTTCACCTTCCTAAATTTCCATCAGCAATAGCAGCATCACAGAGTTGTTTTCTGGTTTAGGTTTGGCTACTTAGATTAAAGGACATCACCTGTCCTACATGTTCGCCTTAACCTGGATCAACCTGCTTGGCAGGACCGGCTCATGCACTGTCTAGTTTGCACTCAACAAGACAATACCAATAATAAGTAAATAGAATTATCTGTATATAAGTAGATAGACTGTTGTTCCGTCCCACATCCTTCTTAAGCAACATCTACATTAAAACACAAGATCTGGAAAAAATGTATTTTAAATCATCAGTGAAACCTTCTGTCACAGCACTGCACTCTAGAGTTCATTAAGATATTTAATAATCTTGCTGACTTAGTCATGTGAAAATGGATACAATTTCAAACCATTCTTTAGAGTTCTCCCCTTATGCACTACACATATAAAGCCTTAACAAGCAATATATTTAAAATTATCATTTATATCTTAGTGTTTCCTTGCTCCCCCCAACACACACTCCATCCACACTATCCACTTCCAGTCTTTTAACTTAAATTTAGAGAACAAACACCTTGGGGACTACCACAAAACTTTTTATTTTGCAACATACTTAACATCATGTTAGCCCTGGTCCGTCATTACTACTACAGTAGTACAAAGATGTGCAACACATTGCTAAATTATGTGCTTGAGCAACTCAGATGAGAGCAGACACCTAATCTTCATTAGCAAATCAGAGAAATACAGATGAGGTACAAAGTGGCTTTCATGACTGGAATACCAAGTATCTATAAACTGGGAATTTTTCAAATAAATATTTCTGTATCCAAAAATATTGATTTGTTCAAACCAAAACCTGTTATAAAAATTTACTAGTTTTAACATAATGTCTCCTGGGAAAGATTAGTCTGCTTCAAGGTGGGATTAGCACTCCACAGTAGAGGACTTACACTAAGACGATGTGCCTGCCAGGTCCAAAAACTGGTGGTTAGTGCCCTCCCTAGGGACAGGATATGGAAGAACTAGGTTCAAGCCCTTTCTCAACACTCTCCTTCATAACAAGCACATTAGTGGCTACATATGGCATGTCTTAATTTCTGATGTTGCAGGGGTTCCATGCTGATTAAACAGGGATCTGTACAACTGGGTCTCCCTCATTCTCACTGTCTGCCCTGACCAGCAGGCTATGTGTCGTTCTATTATTTTGTTTCCAAACAGTCTTCCCTTCACTATTCTATACTTCTTTGTCCTGCATTTGATGAAGCTGGATCAAAACTGTAATGAATGCAAAACAAAATAGTAAACTTATGAAATAGCATTGAGCTCTCACACATGAAAGGTAACATTAAATTAATTTCCAGTGTATTACATTAAACTGCAGTTTCACGTGTTTCATGTCTTTTACACAGTCCACCTTTTTCTCCAACTTAAAAACAAGATACTTTGGGATCATCTACCTCTGCATTTTAGTTCAGATCTGGAACACATATTTGAAGGGAACTATTCCATGAGCTGGTTAGCATTGTAGAGCACTCCCCTTTCTCCTGAAAGGGTCACCTGATGCACTCTTTAGATCTAGTTTTGAAATCTACATTTTGTTAATGCAGACATGGCTTTGGTCTCTCATCTAAGGTTCTCAAAGGGATTTGTAATTAACTATGCCTGTGGCTGAGATATAGGTATCATCCTTTCACAGATGAAGACCTGAATGTGAATATAACTTGTGGAAAAACATCAGTTCTGAAGAAAATCAGTGGTACAGCCAGGAATACTAGGAGTCTGTCACCTGCTCCCACCTTTAAAGCACATCCCATTCACAGGAAAAACAAGAAATTCAGTAACTTTCATAAATATTGAAACTTTATTTGCCTCAATTTAATATCTGACTGGCTTGGGTTTTCATAAAATCTTTTTCAGACTACTAAGGAGAGCATAATGCTGCAGCAGAGCTAACTGCTGAGAAACTCCACTGAGGAAATACTTTGCCCTGGGCTCACATCTCCCCTCTTGTGAAAGTCACTGGCTTGCCTTAAGCCTCTTGCCATGTGCATGCCAGCATATGGACATGTCGCATAAACAATTAAAGGACTTGGGTTTGAGGACAATGATGAGAACACACTAATAAGAACAGTATAGGCACGCTACAACAGGCAAGATCTATTCCCCTCAGGCTACATTTGGAGGAGGAAAGGGAGGAAAACACAATATACTCATAATACATTCACTATAGCAGAGGACATCATAGAGAATAAATTAATTCAGTCACACCCTATGAATTACCTTCTGTGCATTAGACACTTTGTTCTGCATGGCTCTCTAAAGGTTCACATTTTATGGTCTTTCACAAAACAGGTCTGTAATCATTCTAAGTGAGATATAAATACACAGATCTAAATTCTGCTCCGAGATCATCACATACAACTCCAAGAAGTCAATTTCAAGTATGATCACTAGTCCAGGAATATTCCCAAAACTTTAATCCTAACATGAATACATAGATGTCAAGTGTGAAAGTCAGGATCCACCCTGGTCATTTGCCAGACTCCATATGCTCAGGTCCAAAATACTGTTCAGGACTATCCAAAGTTCACCATTTTCCACTTGAACATCATGGGCTGGAATTAAAAAAACGGCAACATTCACCATGAGCTGAAAGAGCAGAAACATTTGCTCATCACCAGTGGTTTGGTTGGCCAGTTTTGGCAGCTTGCAATTTGCCTGGCACCACTCTTAACTAAACCCAGCAGGGAGTCACTTAACAGGGCTTTGGGAAGTGTGAGAGAAATGAGAAATTTGGCTAGTCAAAAAAAAAGCACATGCAAATACAATGAAGGAAATCGTTGGAACATTTCTGATAAGAATCCAAGCCTATTAAACACTGCCATATTCCGGAGAAAAATGAACATACATTATTTCACTTGGACTTCCAGAAGTCATGCTTCAGAGGTATAACAACATCACTCTTTGATGTTACATACAACATCCTTCCTATCACATCATCAAGCCTTAGAAAGCAGACCAAACATGTTTCTTGCACTATTTTGTGAGGTTTAACAGGAAGTGCTAGGATTCAGACTTGGACTCTGCAATTGTTCGTTTACTCTTTATTTATTTAAGAAGGAAGAAAACCCTTAAGTAGGGAATCTCATTTCAAAGATACCCTGGCAAGGCATTGCAGTAGTTTCATATGCTCTATCTGTTATAAAGTATGCATCATGAAGATACACCTAATTAAGATAACACATTATTATCCCAATATCCACATGTTAGATTTGGCATGGAAGTCAGGAATGAAAAGTATCTGACAGCTGATTGTGTCACTCTTCTTGTCAAGATGGCCAATTATCTGAGGAAACTACAAATTCTAAATATTGGGGGAGTGACATAAAAGGAACTGCAGCTCCAAAGTAGCTGCAAATGAACAGAAGGAAGATTAAAAGGTGATGTCACTGGCAAAAGCATTCAGGGCAGGACTCCCAAACTGAATGGATAAAAGAGCTACATAACATGGGGGGAGGAGTGAGGATTAGAGAACCGAAGCATCATTTTTAGCTTGCTTCAGAAAGCTTTAGGCTTATTTCTCCCACATTAATCCATCAAATGTAACTGCATTGGTTTTATTCTTGATTATATCTGATGTTTTGGCTCCAGCTCACTGAGGACCAATGATTAACATATTCTGATCAGAATAAAACAAATGTCCCTTCCATGTATTAAAAGTGTACTGTCTCATGGCTTCCCTCAGACACGTTTAAAACCCAGTGACAATTACTAAATTTAGATTTATGTCAGTCAGTTTGAAAAAACGATGACAAAAAAAGTAAATAACACTAAACTGCACACTAAGATAACTGAACGTGGCACCCTGAAACTCTTCACAGTCCTTCCTCATCCTAACACCTAGCTTGTGTAAGTTATTTTACAATATCAACAAACCGCTGAAAACTTGTTGCAGCTAAGACTTAGTGTCTTGCACCTTCAGCTTTCATAGCAGTCAGAATGAAAAGAGTGCTTAGAGGATTTGATCACTGTTCTGCTGTCAGCAGAAGTTCTAGCATAAGCATGCAACTCTTCCAAAAGGGAACATTGAGAGAAACCTTTCTATTCTATTCTATTTAAGAATATTTGTTACTTGATGTTCCTGGTAAAATAGCCACTAGTATACTAAATGCATTTTTCCTGACTTCAGATAGAATTGTGCCCTTTTTTTACTGGTGAAAGAGAGTATTCTGCATATGGTGAGCTAGACAGCAGATAAAGACTAGATCACCACATACCAGCAACTGTTTTAAAATATTCATCTTACACAGCAAAATCTCAGGATTACAGGGTTGTTTCAGGCTAGGCAGCCTAAATCATTACTGTTTGCTTAATATTTCATTTTTCAAACCAAGAAGGAGCTTTGCATGAATTTTT